GCCGTACAGCAGTATATCTTACGTTTTTGTTGAGTGTCATTTTTGTTGTGTGTTTTGCTTTTGATTTTGTTTTCTCTGCCTACTTTTAATTTGCTGTTTCTTTTGCAGGTGTTGAAATAGAACTCACTGCCTGTGGCATTCCAGCTGAGATTTTTAACAAATTATCATAAGTGAGCTTTTAATTAATGATTTTACAAATTACAACAGCTCCATGGTAATCCAAATTTAGAAACTTAGACACCCTTGTGAAACATAAATTTAGATTCTCCAAGCTAACAATTGCATAGGGTGATAGAACAGTCAATTGAAGGATTGATCATCTAATAAATAACTAGATAAATGATTATAAAATGTAGGCTCTCACATAAAAAAAGAAATGAAATTCTGCCATTCAGAGCAACATGGATGAGCTTGAAGAAAATTATGTTAAGTGAAACAAGTCAGCCACAGAAAAAGAAATACCGTCTGTCCTCACTTGTAAGTGGGAGCCAAATAAATAACTGAACAAGAGAGAGAGAGAATAATCACAGTAATAGGTTGAACTTTTAGAAGGAGAGAACAGAACTGTGGTTACTAGAAGTGACAAGGGGGAGGAGGAGAGAGGCGGTTAAGGAGAAATTAATGAGAAATTGGTTAAGAAACACAAAGAATGAGTAGGTATTGTAATGATGAATAAGCTAACCATCTGGATTTGACCATCACATACTGTACACAACTATTGACAGCCAACTTTGTACCCCACAAATATGTAATAATCAATTATGCTTCAATTAAAAAGAAATAAAACGAAATAGTAATTTTTAAAAACATAAAAGTTAGGCTCTCAGATCCAATAGGTCAGAAACTTGAGCTCAGAGCAATAATATAAGGTATCTCTGCCCCGCGTAAAAACTGTTTTGTCTGCCATGCATGAGCCAGAGAGAACCAAAGAAAAAAGTTAAAATAATAACCTTTTTAAAATACTTCCCTGCCCACATTGACTGTTTGAAGAAACCAGCCCAGCAAATGAAAGATAAACTTGGTCAGCCAGTCTTAGCTAAAATGGAAACATTGAGACTTTAACCCTAAACAAAGGGGAAAGGGGAGGAAATAGTTCTTCTTTAAAAATTAAACTATGATTAAAATTGCTTTACCCAAAACATGGTCCATAGCCTTCACTAGATTACCTATTGTGGCAAATAAAATTTAGCCATGTGAACATTTCTTATATTGTCTTAAAAATAATTTGGATCCAGGGCCGGCCCGGTGGTGCACTGGATAGTGCGCCGCTTGGGAAGCGCGGCAGCGCTCCCGTCCGAGGGTTCGGATCCCACGTACGGACCGGCTCCTGCTCACTGGCTGAGCGAGGCGTGGGAGCAACGCCGAGGCTTGCGGTCCCGTCGCCGGTCCCCGGTCCGGTATGGGGGCAACACTGAGGGTTGCGATCCGTTGCCGGACACGGAAAAAAGACAAAAAGACAAAAAAAATAAATAAATAAATAATTTGGATCCA